GGGACTCCACGGGCCCCTTTTTCTTGCAACGTGACGCGCCGACATACAATAAATTCCGTTTTTTCTCAATAAATAACACGAACGGACTCGGACTTCGACGCGATAGACGCGCAAATAGAAATCGTATCGACGCCCGAAAACAATAAACCGAGCCTAGCAACGATCTTCAAAATTCCTTCGTAGACGATAGCAAACAGAAACTTTTCTTATTGTCTAAACATTCGAGCAGCTTTCCAAACAAACCCGGATATCTCCGGGTCATGAAAACGCTGGTCATAAAAATTAGAGCGACCGGCGCAACTAGAAACTCCGGCATTTTTATTACAAACAAACAACAGGGAGTCTATGCGGCATGGTCGAAAAGACAACACTCTCTCTTTTTCCTTCCTCGAAAAATCGGACGAGGCGACCGAAGCGAGAGATCGTCGCCGATTGGCGATCTCGCAAGTCGCCCGACCGACTAATTAACAAATAGAAACCAGCAAAATTCAACTGAGTTCCCGATTGGGAGAGTCCTCGCTTACTAAAACAGTATATAAGCCAGGGCTCTCGGAATCGGAAGCTCAGAAAGAATCGCGCCGCGTATCCAGAAAAACTTACTGATTCTGCCGGGAGTGCCGCAGCAAAGTCACGACGCATACAAGTTATAAGTGCAAGTGCAACCAGTGTGCCGAGAATCCACCGAACTACCTAGCCAGCCGTACGGGCCGAAGGGGGTGAAGGAAATCGCACCACCAGTAGCAGCAAGTATTAAGTCCACACTATTATATATACGGAGGTTCCACTTCTCGCGAAATCAAAAAAAAACATCGCGATTGATTTTTTGAGATATCGAGAACGAACAAATTAAACAAATAATCTATAAAAATTCGGAAGGGCTACTCGCGGTGTGTAACCGTCTTGGGTGGCAGCCAAAATTTTCGGAAAGGCTACTCGCGGTGTGTAACCGTCTTGGGTGGCAGCCAAAATTTTCGGAAGGGCTACTCGCGGTGTGTAACCGTCTTGGATGGCAGCCGAAATTTTGGAAGGGCTACTCGCGGTGTATAGCCGTCTCGGGTGGCAGCCAAAATTTTGGAAAGGCTACTCGCGGTGTATGACCGTCTCGGGTGGCAGCCGAAGTTTTCGGAAGGGCTACTCGCGGTATATAGCCGTCTCGGGTGGCGTCCAAATTATTTCTTTTTTTTTTCTAAATCACGGAAACAAACAAAACTCTCTTATCTCCGAATATCAGTGTTAGAATCATGACACATCCAAATTTATTCCTATCGTTATTTCCATTGAAACCTAACAAATGAAACAAAACCGAATTTATCTAGATACAAATCTCTAAGATGATTTAAGTTGTATAAACATGGGTTAAGAGGCTGGCTACACTAAAAAACTCGCACTCTCGTTCTCTCTCACACTCGCGTTCTAGCGTGTAGATTACATTGTACGAAACGATTATATGTTCCTTTATTGTATTAATTTCTGCATGTCTGTTATTAATTCATTGATTGCGATNTTTTAATAAATATAACTACTTTATAATGTGTGGAATCAATCTAAAGAATTATTCTCTGTTATCCTTCTTTCCGTACAACCCACTCTCACTTCCTCGTTAAAATCGCCAGGTCCCGTCCTTGGTCCGTGGAGTTAATTCTCCAGACTTGAAAAGAGACCAACGAGTGAGTGTTCGTAAGACAGAGTAAGATCGGCGTATGCCGTTGACCTGTCGACGAACGTAAGCAAACTCGCTCGACTCCGTTGCAGCGGGATCGCCAACCTGCTGTGCGGAGATAGACAGAGAAACGACAGCTTTCTGTTACTCCACCATAGCCCGACCGTAACCGTGGGCCAGGACGTAACATATGTACACGCACAGTTTCCGCACAAACATCCTGCGAATGGCTCGTATGGCCTTATATATTTATTGTTGACAATTTCAACGAGCTTTAATTATTTCTAACTATTGATACAATGATTTTATACTTTTTATTTTTTTTATAATGTTTTTAATATTTAACATGTATACAAGTGTACTTGGTGCTACTTTTACATATCACTTCTTTTGTAGCGTAGGTTTTGTAGAAATATAGAAATAGTAAAAGAGAGAGTTTACTTGGTGCTACTTTTTAATATCACTTCTTTTGAAAAATAGGTTTTTAGAGACAGAACTCGTTATAAGAATTTTAGAGAAAGAATTTTGTAGTATTTAATTTAATTTTATTTATTTTATTTATTAAACTTAATCCTTGCCTTTCGGCTTTGGATGGCTTCCGGTTGCTTTACACTTTACAGTTTTTACATTTTACTTCTTTACATCTTTATCTCTTTACATCTTTACATTTGCCCGAAATAACTTTCATTTTCATTGTAACATATTAACATTTTAACACATATAACACATATGACACATATAATATAATATATTATAATATATAACACCTTAGTATAGTAATATAGTATAGTAATCTATTAACCTTTTAGCGTCTTGGATATTTTCTACTTATAGCTTCTTTTAGTATCTTTTAATATATTAACATTCTAAATTTTAAATAATAATTAAATAATAATTAATTTCACATTTACCATTCTAAATAATAATAATACTGCTAATACTTCTGACCAACACTAATTCGTATGTATGTTATGTTATCACTGTTCTTATTCCTAATATTGCTTTTCCCCTTTCTTGTCACTCGCAGTTCGTACTGTCCTTGCATTTAATATCACTCTGTTTATCCCCTGTATATTTCTGTTTCTTTGGTTTTCTTCTTTCTTTTTCTTTTCTCTTCTTTCTTCTCCTTCTATCTCTTTCTTATCTTCCATTTTTTTTCTTTTTCTTTGCTTATTTCATCTATTCTCCTCATTACTTTCCCATCTTCACTTAAAAACTCTTCTTCTGATATTTCTTCTTTCGTTTTTTCGCAATTTTTCAATACATGTGTTGTGTCCTCTATTTTGATTCCGCATATTCTACACATCCTTTCCTCCTCTGTTAGCCAGTATTAGTTCCCTTTCATTTCGTTCCCGCATCTGTATCTTGCTATCCTTGTCCTTTCTTTCTTGCTTTTCTTTCCTCTTAAGTATGCCGGTACTGCTTCTGTTCTTGCTTTTTTGTAGCTGACGTTGTACCTCGATTCCTCCATCTTTTTCCTTCTTTCCTCCTTATCTTTCTTTTTTATTTTCTCTACTATTTCTTGCACTATCTCTTTCATCTCCTCTTTCTCTCTCTTCTCTTTTAACTCCTCCTTGCTAATACCCACGTCTTGCATCACTTCTTTTCTCCATTTCTCTCTTATCTACTTTCTTTCCCTCTCTCTATTTCTTTCATGCACTCTACCACTAACTTCTTTTTCGAATTCCGTGCCTCCTCTTCATATTTTATCGCTCTATGTATAACCTCCAGTCTTAATTCCTTCATTTTTGTCTCCTCTTTTACAATATAGTTTGGCGTTCTTTTATCCAATCTTAATATCCACTTTATGTATTTTCTCGTCACTTTGTCCAATCTTTCTTTCTTCTTCTACCCCCATATCTCCGCGCCGTAGAATGCCACACTGCCCACCAACTCGTTGTACATTTTCATCCTTCTTCTGTAGTCCTCTTTGAATAATCTTTCTCCGATGCTCTAGGTTTGCTTCATCGCGATCACCGCTCTTCTTATTCTTTCCACCACATGTTTCTCTGCTCCTCCGTTTTTCTGTAGTATATATCCTAAATACCTATCTCCTTTATCTCCTCTATCCTTTCTTCTCTCCAGTTCCACTTTCTCGTCCTTTTTTTCCCTTTTTCTCTCTCAAACACCATCACTTTTAACTTTTCTGGGCTTAAAATTATTCCTTTTCTTTTTAAATACTTCCTGAACCTTCTCATCATGTTCTTCAGTTCTTGTTCGCTCCTTGCCAGCAGCACAATGTCATCCGCGTAAGTAATCGTCCAGACTTTTTCTTTACCTATTGAAACTCCACCAAATTGCTCTTTCCTCATTTCTGCTTCCAAATCTATCATATACACGTTGAACAGTGTTGGGCTCATAGGACATCCTTGTCTGACTCCACTTCTTGTCCAGAACTCCTCCGACTTTCCTTTTCCTACTTTCACTTTGTTTTTTGTTTCTTTATAGGTCTCCATGATTCTTTTTCTTAACTGTTCTCCAATCCTCACCTTTTTCAGCATTTCTCCTAGTTTAACCCTTGTCAAACGCCGCTTTTAGATCAGCGAAGAATGCGAAGGTCTTCCCTTTCTTTTTTGCTATTTCTTTGTTTACTATGAAGTTCAGAACGAAACTTGTGTCCGTCGTGCCTTTTCCAGCCCTGAAACTAAACTGTCCTTCTTCTAATTTTTCCTCTACTTCCCTCTTCAATCTTTCATTTAGGATGTTTGCACATATCTTGTACGCCGTATCCATCAGGGTCACCTCTCTGTAGTTCTTTACTTTGCCTTTCTCTTCTTTTTTGAATATGGGGCTAATTATCCCTCTATTCCACTCTTCTGGTATTCCTCCTTCCCTCCATATCTTTCTTATCAATTTTAGAAATACTTCGCCTATTCTCTCTGGCATTAGCCTCCACGCTTCATTCTCTATTCTATTTTCTCCTAGTGCCTTTCCTTTCTTCAGCTTTCTTAGTTGTTTCACTAGTTCTTCCTTTGTTATTTCTTCTATCTCCTCATTACTCTTTCCTTTCCTATTCTCCTCTTCTCGTTCCTCTTCTTCTTCCATCACCACTCTTTCCTTTGTTCCCCCTAGTAGCTCCATGAAATGTTCGTTCCAGCTGTGCAACTCTATCCCCTCGTCTACTCTTTCTTTCTTCTTTCTGTATTTATTTATATACCTCCACGCTTCTTCTTCTGTCCTTATGGATCTTATTTTTTCTTCCTTTCCTCCTCGTGTTTCTTTTTCTTTCCTTCACACCATTTTCTATACTCCCTTCTCTTTCTTACATACTCCTCCCTTTTTATCTTGTCTTTCTTCAATTTTCTTAGTTCTCTTCTTAACTCTCTTTTTTTCTTTTTCCATTCTTTGCTGTGCCATTCCTTTCTTCCTAACCTCCATGGCGTTACCTTTTTCTTGACCCTCATTATTGATTCTTTCACTTTATTTTTCATTGCTGACCACATCTCCTGTATATTTGTCTCCGTGCACGTCAACCTCTTACATTCTTCATGATAATGCTCTATCCTTTCCACCGACCATACGCTCCTTTCTACCTCCACACAGCCACTTTTTTTTATTCTTCTTCTTCTTATTTCTTCTATTTCCACTTCCATTGGAGCATGGTCCGATTCTGTTCTGCTTCCTTCCTCTACCTTTCTAACCTCCTCTTAGCCTTTTCATTCGTTACCACATAGTCTATTACCGATGACCCTTGTTCTCCTATGTATGTCCATTCCCCTTGCTTTCCGTTACTTCCGTTAAGTATCATCCACCCTCTTTCTTTCAGCTTGTTTACCAGTATTCTAACTTCTCCCTTCTCTGTTCACCACCTTGTCCTTTGACCTCCTTGTTTTCTCTTCCTCCTTTTTTCCGTATCCTATTGGTCCACTTTCTTCCCCGGTTCTAACGTTAAAGTCTCCTTTTAACATTAAATATCCTTTCTTGTCTTCCCCTATTACCTCCTCCAAGCTGTCCATTGTTTCTTCTATATTTTGACTATATAGAGTAATTATCCTCCACTTTTTTCTGTTATATACCATGCTTATTTCCATTGCTCCTTTGTTTATTTCTTTTACTTTTACTTCCCTCAGTTCCTTGCTAGTTGCCACGATTATTCCTCCTTTGGCTCTTTCTTTCACGCACTCCCTTGTCGCCGGTATGCAATTCCACTTGTATTTGTTTGGCACTCTTGTTATCATTTTCTTCCACGTTTCTTCTTCTATTCAAGTCTCTGTCAGACCTATAATATCAAATTTTTCCAGGTACTCTCATGTTTCCTCACATTTGTTTACCAATTCTGATATATTCCAAAAACATATTTTTAGTCCTTCCTCTTTGTCTTCCTCCTTCTCCCTTTCCTGTTTATCCTCAATCTCTTTTTTCACTTCTTGTTTCTTCCAATCTCCCTACCTTCTCATTCCATCTATACCACTTCTCTTTTGTCTTAATTTTCATGTAACCTACTTTCACTTTATCATCTCCTTTCTCTCTTTCTTCCTTTGCTATTCCTCTCAGCCTCTTCTGTATCTCTCTTTCTTTTCTTGTTAAATCGTCTTCTATTATGATTCCTTTGTCTAATCCTTTTTTCTTCCTCATGATTTCTCTTTTTTGCTCCCATTTATCTATCTCTGCAATCAATATGTTTTTAAACCAATATATAAGGCCTTACGAGCCATTCGCAGGATGTTTAAACGGAAACTGTACGTGTATATATATATATATATATATATATTGTGACGTTTTTCTCTGGTCTTACGAAATTCCCGCGTCGTCCCGCCCGAAACGGAAGTCCGAAATCGGGACACGGACGGAAGTCCGCGAGATAGGAAACGTCTAGATCGGCAGGAGAGAAAAGGGTGATAAACTGAGCACACCACTGCGCCGAGCCGACGGATCCTTGGGTGTAGTTTTGGGCGCCAGACGCGTACTTGCGTCAAAATGTGCGTCGCTCAACACAATGGGCCGACTAGCTTTACTTGAAACGGAGAGGGGGTGGGTCTGACGGTAAATAAACAAGGCTGTCCCGAACGAATCTCGGATTAGAATTGCAATCAACCACACTGCGGATAGAGATAAAGAAATAAACAATTTATTATAACACCGCGTAAGGTGAGACGACTTCGCGAAGATAACAAAAAAATTACAAAATAAAGTTCACCGATATGATACGGCGAGATCGCTGGGTCGCGGCGGTAGTGATTACAAAAGAACATAAAGTAAAAGAAAATAGAAAAGTACAGGGACAATTAACAAGACACTTTCAACAGAAACGTGATCTATCGCAGAACCAATTAAGTATATCGACTCGCGATATCGAGGACGCCACGTCGTCGCGCTGACTTCACATACGCTTATACGTTACTAGGCGGTATGCTAGGCAAAGAAACAAGCGTGTTAATCAAAGCCTTCCTGAAGCTGAAAGCGGTGGAATCGATTAATCTAGCTAACTCGTGCGCTTATCACTAGACAGGCCGCCAGGCGTAATATTTACGCCGCGGGACTTACTTGATTTCGCAGGGGCTGGTCAGGCTTACGCCATACACGGCGCAAAGCTCTCGCCGGATTCCCGTCCCTGGTCACAGTGTACTTAAGCAATCAAATATAACGCAGCATGCACGTGCCAATGAGCACACCTGAGCAAAGCGCTCACGAAGTCGGAAGAGCTTTTTCCCCGGAACGAGAGCTAGGCGCTCCTCGATCTCTCGGACAGTGTTCACAGTTTTAGCTTCCTTACAGCATGCTACAGCAAGTGGAGGGGATACGCACACAGGCGAGCAGCCATGTACGTGAGCGCTCGACGCTTCGGTCGTCTTCGGGCGGTCGAAGAGAACAGAGATATATTTGCTGTCTCTTTCTTTTTATGTAGCTATAGCGTACGCGGCCAGCGCGAGCGGCTATGCCTCGCGCTGGCCACTGTTTATTGTTTTTCGCCGTTCGTCCCCATTCTCGCAATTATTAATTAAA